TAATGTATATGTCTTGCCTATCTATCTTTGATTTCCTATACTATGACCCTTGAAGATAACCACAAAAACCCGAGAGACATATTTCATTTTGCCAGTTTGGGGCAAGAAGTTTAGAGGAGTGCAGTACTATGCTCTGTGGTTCCCCAAAGCTGCACAAACTAAATGCAAATCTAACACTGCAGATGAAAAAAATAGACTACATGGATGAATTGTTGAATTGTAGAATATGGTTGGTGAGCCTTCTTCAAGCTCATGGAGCTGCTATTTTAGCTTACTTTTTGCATGCTGGGGGAACTATCTTCAAATACTTAATTTGTAATTTATAAAATGTTCTAAGGCCAAAATCTTGTTCTAACGGTAAAGACAAAAAATGATGCATTATCATCTTTTATTTTTTCCAAGTGTCTTACTGTTTTCTGTTATCAGCAATCAGAAATGATTAGAAAATTCCAATTCTGCTTAAGAGTGAAAAAATGTGAAAGAATTACCAGAGCAACTCTTGGTTACTGCATTCATATTTGAACAGTATCTTCAATCTAGAAATGCATAGTAACTGACAAATGGTTGTAGGTCAAGTTCATTAGTGCTTGGAAAATGAAATAGAAGAAAGTATAAGCAAAATACCATGAAATATATAAAGACACTGATGTAAATTTTGGTCTTAGACTGTTGCTGACTACAGTAATGTTCTAAATATGTGGATATCATTTAGAGAGCTCTCTACTTTATTTGGCTGTATTTGTGACTTTGCAAGCTGTTATTTAAATCACTTTATTCTGTTCTTGTTATTGTTTCTTGGTGTGCCATCTACCATTTGTCCTTATTACATTTTTAACTGAATGTGTCTCCACTTATTTAAATTCAACTCCTTTTTTTAAAAAAAAATCCTCACCAGAGAATATGTGTCATTGATTTGAGAGAGAGAGAGGAGAGAGAGAGAGAGAGAGAGAGAGAGAGAGAGAGAGAAATACAACTGGGGGGGTCAAAGGAACCTGAAACCCAGGTATGTGCCCTGCCCGGGAATCGAACCCATGACTCTTCAGTGTACAGGATGATGCTCCAACCAACTGAGCCACACCAGCCAAGGCTAACTTCAACTTCTTTTAAGGTGCTAGATACTCTGTTCATTATTATGTCAGTTAAAACTAGTGGACATGGTCTCAATTCTGTTTTGGGATTTTTGCTAAAGATAAAAATTTCTATCATTTCCAGTGAAGACATCTGTGGAATACCATGTATATACCAGTCCCAAGCTTGTTACTTTCAGAAAGTCAATGCACCCACCAAACAAGGTCAGGGAGTGTATCTTCTCAGCATGTGAAAAACTTATACTCCAAATCTACCAAAACCCCAAATGCAGTTATAATTTGATGTTGTCTAATATGTTAGAAATTAAAGATGACTATTTAGAATATGTGATTTAGGAGGAGAAGGGTGGGGAGAAAGTGATAAGGACCAGCAGTTGGAAGAAGACATATTTTAGTGTACTCTATTTTAACCCCCAGACCCTGAGAAGCCTCAGAAAGATAACATTATTGGTAGAGGAGATGTGACAATACATTTTAGAGCACTACCTCTGGAAAATTAAAATGGAAGAAATCACTAAGTCATTCAATATACATTTATTAAGAGTTTACCATGTGGCATGCATTCTTACTAGGTTCTGCTGATATGTAGATGTGTGTATATACATATTATTTGCATGTATGAGTATGTGTGTGAAGTTTCCAAATTTCCTAGATCTATAATGAATACTAATCAACAGCAAATATGAATAATTCAATAAATATTTGGCATATCAAACTGAATGAATTAAGATTGTTATTGCCTTAACATCCAATATTGAGAATGAGAACTTAATATCTGTTTCCGTCCTAAACTCTGTCTCTTTCTTTCCTGACAGACACTCTCAGTAAGTTAGAGATTTCATTGATATTCTGCTGTGGCACTGTTAATCTTATTTTGATTGAAACAGGGTTCTGGACAGAAAAATTGATGTGTGTTTGTGGTGAGACTGTTGCAAAAAAAAGTGGTAAAAAGACTTTATACTTGGTGTGCCTGGGGCAAGAATTATGACCTTCCTTAAAGTTATAATTTAGAAAATACTCTGCTTACTGTGCTACTTTTAGAGCACTATGGATTAATCTATGTACTTAAGCACATTTAATATCTATATTTTGATTGACATTCCTGTTGTCATTTTCAATGATTTTCTTGCCTAAACAGCACATAATAGAATTTCACAATGGACAGGGCATTTATCTTTCTTGTTAGGTGTTGCCAGTTTTATTCAATTTACCAGGGTGATATTGGTTAATAAAATTATGTAGGTATCAGGTATACAATTCTATTATGCATCATCTGTATATTGCATGGTGTGCTCACCACCCCAAGTCAAGTCTCCTTCTGTCACCATTTATCCCCCCTTTACCCTCTTCTAACTTTCTCTACCCCCCTTAGCCTCTGGTAATCACCATACTGTTTTCTGTGTCTATGAGTTTTCTTTTCTTTTACAACACAGAAGTTGTACAGCCAGTTGTATGTCATATGATAATGTCATCAGATTCTCAAAGACAAACATTATGTAGCATAATTATCACATATGTTTATTTTAGGGCAGTTTTGTTAGATATAAAATATAAAGAGGAAATAAAATGAAAATTAATACAGTGCGGAAGGATGTTATGTTTAACTTAGAATACACATTGTATGTCAAAAGATATTTGTGCACAGTGCTATGATTTAGTCACTCTAACCCTTTGTATTATCTAAAATGAGGATTTGAACTAAACCAAATTATTTTCTTTTTTATTGAATTGATTTGGGTTACATTGGTCAATAAAATTATATAGGCTCCAGGTGTATAATATATCATCTGCACATTGCATTGTGCTCTCCCCAACCAAAGTCAAGTCTGCTTCCATCACCATTTATCCTGTTTGCCCTCTTCCACCTGCCCCCGCCCACCCTCCCCTCTGGTAATCACTGTACACTTGTCTGTGTCTGTGACAGTTATTTTTTTTTTCTTAATCCCTTCCAAAAACTCAGTAAATCTAATTGTAAGATCCAACCCGCAAAATTACTATCATTATTATTTTTACTAAACCACAACCTTAAGTTTAAAGATTTTCAACCCAATGATGCAGTTAGAAATGGAATTGAAGTTATAGATTTTCCATAACTATTGAACTAGAACAAAGTAGATGAAAGTATTCTCTAAACTGAGAAGATATCTTATTCCAGTCACACATTTCTAGCAGAAAATATTTTTACACTATATCTTTCCTTAAGATATGTTTAGAAATAAACTTAGAACACAAACAATGTGCTAAATTTTATCACCTTAATACAGGGGTGGGCAAAAGTAGATTTACAGTTGTTCATATGGAAAATAATTAATAAATCATAATACAAGAGTGAACTCTGTTTCACCCACTCACCACTGTGGACCTACTTTAGCCTACTCTGCATTTTATTTATAGTGAATGTTTAAGATACTTTTTTTTCCCTTTTCACGTCTGGCTTACAGTAGCTTTTAATTCACTAGTTAATTTTAATTAAAGTTTAGGACAGTGAGTTACTTAGAATAAATTTATCTATATCTGGTAAAATGTCAGTCTTGCTGTTTGTATTTACAGTGGTCTTATTTATTAAAACTTGAATTACTTTTGGTTTGAATTCTACTATGCTTTTTCACCTAGGAAGCATTTTCCTGCCATTATGAAATTAGGAATTTACCACAATAAGCACAGGAAATGAACTGTCTTCTAATCGTTCATTGTTCAATATTAAGGCTGTGTGCCTCTGGGGGAAAAAGTCATGGGAGGGGTATAGTGTTTAACTTTTTTTTTTTTTCCTGAAAGAGAGGGAAATATGTCTTTCTTGAAGAAAGACAGTTGGCAGGTATGATAAGTTACTCTTCATTTAGGGACAGATATTTTAATAAGACAATGTTTAGTTATAAATAGCAATTATGATTTAAGTAAAGACCTGTTTCCTGTAAGACAAAAACATTGTAGTGATAAATGATCACCAACTGTTGAGATGTAGGAACCTTACATTGTACATATTCCCAGCATACTATATTATTGGAAATTAGCTACTTCAGACATTATTTGATTACTTGAATTTTTACAATGAATAATTATTCTTAAAAAATCTGTTCATATAGATATTTTTCTTACTGTAATACAACTACAGTTAGCTTCTTGATTGTAATTAAAACCCATGTTAGTTAAGCAGGCTTTAGAGGGGGAGGATTTGAAAGAAGCTTCAAAAACTAAAACTGAATGTTTTATTAACTCTGTTAACTGAACCTGATGTCCAGAGAGAGATTCTTTTGTTCAGAACCAAACTCAAACATTTTTTCTCAGGGTTAAATTATAGCCATGGGGAATCATAATACACACATGCACTTATATTTTGTTCTATTGTTTACCCCAAATACATATAATAAAAATACTACTTCTTATAAGAACATTCTACATTACATTCACATGACAAAAGTAATTCATGTGTATAACTATTGTATTTTGGGAAGAAATCTGAATTTTGGAAAATCGAAGAGCATGGTAGAAATAAAAGCAGATCCTATTTTTTGATAGAATAAATCTACTATTACTGCTATTTTGCATTCCAGCTAATGTTCAGAAACAAGCTATGACCCAATGGCAATAGACTTTAAGATCAGCTAATGGTCAATAGTTGATATATATCAAAGCACAGTTTACAGTGGGGGAGGGGAACCTCAATGACACACAAAAACTCTGAAAAGCATTTCAATGAGCTCAAAAATAAAATCAACTGGCAAAAAGAGTACTTTATATATATATATAAAAAAAACCAAAACAACAAAACAACATTTTATACTAAACCATATGCATTTACCGTGGAAAGCAGTAGGTATCTAGAAAATATAATGTTTATCTCTCATATTCTTATAGGTTGGTTTCTGCTTTGAACATTATTCTGCTTTGAACAGGTTCTCAAGTGGTTTTTATGTGTTTTTTTTTTTATAGCAACACATGTACTAAAATTGGAATGATACCGAGAAGGATTGGCATGGCCCCTCTCAAGTCGAGTGCATTTGTGAAACAGTTTTTATATTTATCCTACTCATCTTTAAAGACTAGATCAAATGCCACCTCCTTGCATCTCCTCAGGCTGAACATTTCTCTCTTTTGTGCACCACATGCAGTTTATGTCAGTATTTCAGTCATTAGTGTACATTTACATCTTTCTCATTAGAATGTGAGCTCTGGCCATGTATAATGCATTTTTCTATTCCCCAAAACACCGAACACAGTATCTTGTACATAGTGGGTACTGAAAACGTCCATATGGAGTTGAATTTCTATGAGTCATTGCTGAATATTAGCTGCAGTATACACACAAAAACACACAGGCTTATTTATAACTTATACAAAACAAATGAGAGGGGTTCATTGAAAATTTCCAGTTGTTCTAAGTTTTTGGAGTTTTCTAGATGCCCAATGATAATTGGTGACAAATTTTAAAAAGATAGGGGAAGGGATTGTGTATGAAAGAAGAAATGTTTCCGCTTCAAGCATCACTTTTTATAGCCAGTGATTGTTTTCCATTCTAAGACAAATATATTGAACATTAAGATAGAGACTCATGAAAAAGATTGTGGTAGTTGTTGATCCCTATTGGAAATAGCTTACCCCATTACATCATGTGGATTGCTTCTTTCTTTTTGTTATGTGTAGTGCCTTATAAGCATACCATTTTCCCTTTGGGGTGACTGCAGTGACCTCTTATTTCAGTATGCATAAAAGGTTAAAGGTATCTTGTAGGAGCTTATCGTTCATGGGGAAAATGTGTCTTTGCATCTATTTCCTTTAGACATGCTGCTATTAAAAACTCACCTCTTGCCCCGACTGGTTTGCTGAGTGGTTAGAGCATCAGGTGTGGACCAAAGGGTCTCAGATTTGATTCCAAGTCAGGGCACATGCCTGGTTTGCAAGTTCAATCACCAGCCCCAGTAGGGATCATGCAGGAGGCAACCAATTGATGTGTCTCTCTCACATCAATGTTTCTCTCTGTGTCTTCCTCCCTCCCTCCCTCCCTCCCTCCCTCACTTCCATTCTATCTAAAAGTCAATCAATGAAAAAATATCTTCCAGTGAGGATTAACAAAAAACAAACTAACAAACCAAAAAGTTGTATCTTTTCCCAAAAAATAGTCTTTAGAAAATTCATGATCATCTTGTTTTGCCACATCTGAAGCTTTCCAAGAGTTCTACCTGAGTCGCTGAACACTTTGATATATTTGCCTTTTTCTCCTTATCTCTGTATGTATTTATTATGTATATATATGTATATGTATGTATGTGCACTATGTATGTATACGTACAGTTTTTTTTTCCTTTTTTTAAACCTTACTAAAATATTCCGAAGTAAAGAAATAATTGGCTTCTATCAACTGGAAGAGAATATTTTTGCCTAACTGCTTTATCTGGATATGCTGAAGCTCAACAAGGTTTCTATATTTTTACAGTAATTTCAAAACTTGCTGTGAGTGGAAGAAGGGCTGTTGCATGGCCACTACTATATAGTTGCATCAAGAAAAAGTAAAATGCCCAGTGGTGTGGTTCACTGGTTGAGCATTGACTCATGCACCAAGAGGTCGCCGGTTCGATTCCCAGTCGGGGCACATGCCCAGGTTGTGGGCCCGTTCCCCAGTGAGGGCATGCAGGAGGTGGCCAATCGATGTTCTCTCTCATCAATGTTTCTATTTCTTTCTCCCTCTCCCTTCCTCTCTCTCTAAAAATCAATAAAGAAAAAAAAAAGAAAAAGTAAAATATTCATCTCTGTCAAACTAATTTATTTGAGTACAATCCACCAAACTATTGTCATAGTTTTCTAAGCATGCTTAGCACTCACTCTGTGGTAGTGCAAACGAAGGACCATATGGAAGTGGCTCTCTCCCAGGTACCAGTGGGTATGGTTTTGTGGGTTGCATGTGCCTGTTGGCACTGCCAGCAGCTCAGCACCCTGGGAAAGGCATTGCTTTCAAACATGAGTAATTGATGAATTGTATGTAATATGCAAATGTGAATGCATAAATCTCCTGAATGACAGCTTAATTTATGTGAGCTTTTAAGAATGTGCGATTAGATTTTAATTAAACATCTTCAAAGGCACCCTGACTTATACAGTGTTTTTGGCTGCTATCTTGACATAGAAGTGGGGGAAGGATTAAATCATAATTTTACACATATTATCTACATTTTTCTACTAAGTGGTCATTATTTCATTTAAAAAATCAAGGTTTTTAAAGAAGAAATACATTTATCTTTAATTATAAAAACACTGTCATATTACAAAGGTTGCAGTTTGTCATGTATAACAGATATAAGAAAATATATCTGGTTTGAAAATTAATGTCTTAAATTTCAGACATAATTTTGAAACATGTTTCAGATTCTACCATACGTTTTGGTATGCCAAACTGTACAATGGTAAATGTGGATGACATTTCTTGGTACAGATTGCTGGACTAGTAGTACTACATATGACTTTCTCCATATTATTACCTTAAAATTGCTCTTAAATATATTGTGTACATATTTATGTATGTATATTTTTTTAAAATTAAATTTACTGGGGTGACATTGGTTGATAAAATTTTATAGGTTCCAGGTATATAATTCTATAATACATCATCTGTATATTGTGTTGTGTGTTAACCACCCAAAATCAAATCTCTTTCCATCACCATATATTTGACCCCCTTTACCCTTTGCTGTACACCCCTTTCCCTCTGTATAGTTACCGATATACAGTTACCACTATTATCAAACCTCTGTTTGATAATATATTTTGAACCTCATGTAAAGTGCAGATTAGGATTAAAAAGCGGCTAATTAAAATCTTTGAAATTCATGAGCACTTTTCCCATTTATCTATCTATGGAATTTCATTAGAAATTAAAAGGATATAAATGTAATAGATCCACTTAAAGTGTGCTGTAAATGTTGTTAATTATTTTAAAATATATTCAATTTATTTATAGTTTATAGTAAATCACATTGCCCATAAATTATAAATATTTTTAAAGTCTTGACCAGTTATGGCTTATTCTTCGTTTTTATCTGTTTTTCCTACATATTTTCTTTCTCTTAATTTTCATTAAAAGGCTTAAATTTTGATTAATGAAAAATGGCTACCTATACCTCTTCATTTGAATCTATGTTTCCTCTAGTGTACCATTGTAGTGGGTAATTGCACAAAGTCTGGAATGGGTACTTCATAGGTTCTAAACCCCAGCTCTGCTCCTACTTATTGTATAACCTTGAACAGATCACTTAACTATGCCTAAGTTTCAGAATTTTTGCCAGAATGAGGTGACTTAATATAAAAACACTTAGAGGTGTTCCTAGAACGTGAGAAGCCCTATGCAATATATTGTTCTTTATTTCCACTGTTGCCATCATACCCTCTGGATCTACTGGCTGGCCTAGAGCAAGTTAACCCCTCTGAGCTTCAGTTTCTCATTTTTAAATAGGGAAAATAGTATCCATCTCATAAAGTTATTTAGAGAATTTGTCCTAGCCAGTTTGGCTCAGCGGTTAGAGCATTGGCCTGTGGACCAAAGAGTCATGGGTTCGATTCAGCCTAAGGGCATGTACCTTGGTTGCAGTTTGCCCCTGGCCCTGGTCAGGGTCATGTGGGAGGCAACCAGTCCATGTGTCTCTCTCCTATTGATGTTTTTCTCTCTCTCCCTCACTTTCTCCCTCACTTTCTCCCTCCCTCTCACTCTATCTGAAGATAAATGAAAAACTATCCTCAGGTGAGGATTGAAAAAAAAGTATTTAGAGAATTATATGAAGCTGATGTGAACCTTAGTGTAATACTCAACATAGAGTAGGTATTAATATGTCAATACTTTTTCTTGCTTTTAACCATCCAAGAACAGTAACAAACACATATTAATGGATTATGTACAATGGAATCAAAGCCCTTCCTTAACTGAGCTCTGAAACGGAAGAGTTTGTCCAGGAGCAAGCAGCATGGGATTACATTTTCTAATTTCTTCTCTGCAGGGCTCAGAATGTATAGATACCTAATTTTAACATACTATTATTTTTTAAAGGAAATGAAAAGGACCGAGATCAGGATGCATCTGTTTTGGGCTCTTTCAATCAGAACATGGAAAGTAGCTAAACTTTAACACTTAAGGTTTTGGCCATCTTTCACAGAAGACAAACTCTATTCCACTGTGGGCTCATTGGAATTTGACTCACATTAAATGTAATTTTTCTGGCTATAGCCATTTCAAATCTAGCAATAGCATATTATATACACTTCCCCATTTGATTTGGTAAACTGGGTATACATTTTCTACAATCTAATTCAACCTTCATTTGTGATGAAGTGCTAACTCAGGAATTGGAGTGGACCCAACGATGAAGAGTGCGAGAGAGAGAGAAACATCGATGAGAGAGAACATCGACTGGCCACCTCCTGCATGCCCCCCATTGGGGATTGGGTCCACAATCCAGGCATGTGCCCTGATCAGGATTCAAACCAGTGACCTCTTGGTGCATGTGTAGATGCTCAACCACTGAGCCACACCAGCCGGGCTAAGAATAGAGCTCTTTTCATAGAGCATACATGTAACACTGTTTGTTTGCATTCATTTTTCAAGCTAACCTTTTTATAAATTAGCAGACCTATATTGTAAAACACTCAAAGAGAGTTTAGGTTTAACAACTTCTCTCCTGCATCATAACTACATTTGAGTGAAAAATACTTTAGAAAAATAAAAAATGTTAAATAATAAATTAATTCTTAATTATAATAATTCTTACCAACCACACAAAATTTTAAAAATAAATTATTATCTTTGTTAATTAAAAAAGCACAAAAATCTTTCTCCTTAGGGTAATAGTGGTAAAATATTCTCAAATTGTAACCTCTGCTTAGGTAGTACAAATAACATAGGAGTTTGGATACAAGCAGACATGATTTTGAATTTTGTTACCAGCTGTGTGACTTTAGGCTAGTTATCTAATCTCCATGAACCTCAGATTACTATTTGTATATTGAGAATAATAAAATTATTTGCAGTGTTTTGACAGGTA